TCCATCACAACCTCATTTCCGCTCAGTTTTCTGCTCTGGCCTCCCTGCCACACAGCCAGTGCCTACAGGGTAGGCGCGCTCCCGCAGGGCCCCAAAGATAGAGGCAGTTCTGTTGCCACAGGCCACGTTGCTATAGAAAGAGACCCACACAGATGCCATCTTCCAGAGCCTCACTGAGCGGCAGTCTTTCTGTCGGTCATGGGTGGAGAGAAAACACCTGTGGCAGAGGTTGCCAGAGGGATGGCACCACCTTCTACCCCTTCCTCCCCCAAGGTCTAGGCCAGGCCGAGGGAGGCTCTGTGGCCAGGGCCAGGGAGCTGGCTGCTTGTGGTGGGGGATGTGGGCCTCATCTCCCAGGGCCCTGTAGCCAGCACAGGTGCCAGCACCCTTTCCCGGGGGCTCCGGCTGCCACCACAAGCCCGGCTCTCTGCCCTTCCCCCATGGCCCAGCCTCCCCTCCTTTCACATCTTCACCTGCACCTGCCTGGCTGTGACTGCTGTGGGAGCTGGCGTGGTGGGTATGGAGTCTGGGTTATGCAAGGGCACTGTCCCCGGAGAGGGCCTGGTCTAGGGAAGACACATGCACGCCAGAACTGGTGTTCTCCAAGATCCGCATGCTTAGCTGTTAGAATATGGTGTTGGGCTTTGTGGGCTATGGTTTGCTGCTTTGGGTTGGGTGCAATTTTTCCTCTGTCGGCTACTTAGGTGTTCAGACAGAAGGTCCTATGTTGCTGTTTATCTATTTATTTATTTTTGAGACACGGGCTCACTCTGTCACCCAGGCTGGAATACAGTGGCATGATCACAGCTCACTGCAACCTCGAACTCCTGGGCTCAAGCAATCCTCCTGCCTTAGCTTCCCAAGTAGCTGGGACTACAGGTGCGTGGCAGCACACCCAGCTAATTTCTTAAAAAATTTTTTGTAGAGACAGGGTCTTGTTATATTGCCCAGGCTGGTCTTGAACTCCTGGCCTCAGGTGATCCTCCTGCCTCAGCCTCCCAAAGTGCTGGGATTACAGGCATGAGCCACCTCGCACAGCCCTGTATTGCTTTTTTTAAAAATTGTGGTAAAATAAACAAAATTTACCACCTTTACCATTTTTATGGCTATAGATCAGTGGCATTAAGTACATTTACATAGTTGTGCAACCACCGCCACCATCCATCTCCAGAACTTTTTCATCTTTTAAAACTGAAACCCTGTACCCATTAAACACTAACTCCCCATTGTCCCTCCCCCAGCCCTGGCAACCACAATTCTGTTTCCTGTTTCTATGAATTTGACTACTCTGGGTACTTTGTATTAGTGGAATCGCACAGTATTTGTCCTTCCGTGCCTGGCTTATTTCACTTACCACAGTGTCTTCCAGGTTCATCCGCGCTGTAGCGTCAGCACTTCCCTCCCTTTGAAGGCTGCCTGTGCTGCTTTTGAGTACTGCTTTTTGTCTTGTGTGAACAGTCCTGGCTTCTACCCTTCATGGAAATCTTGAGAGGCCAGTATCCTGTGTCCTCTACTGTCCTCACCTCTAGCAGGGCACACAAACTCGGTGGGCCCCAGGGAGCATCAAGCACCCCCTCACTCCGGGAGCCGCTCTGCCCTGGGGCAGCAGGAGCTCAGGCCCCCTCCTTCCATCAGCTCCCTCTTCCTCGTTTACAAAGCTCAGTGACATCTGGAGGCAGCTTGAGGAGAGTGGAGCGGCTCAGGTTCTTCCCAGTCCCCTGGGGCTGGGGGTGCCATTCTACATGACTTGTCCCAGGATCCACGGACAGTTCTGCTCCCCACACCCTCTGCTCTGCCTCCAGGTCCCCACAGGGCACAGTGGGGCAGGGGCCTCAGAGGGCTGAAGCCAGAACATGGGAAGGGTCAAGGGGTTTGAAAATGCCAAGACAGGAAGCAGTGGGGGTGCTTCTTAAAAGGTGTCTTTCTGGCCGGGCACGGTGGCTCACGCCTGTAATCCCAGCACCCTGGGAGGCCGAGGCGGGTGGATTGTTTGAGCTCAGGAGTTCAAGACCAGCCTGAGCAAGGGCGAGACCCCGTCTCTACTAAAAATAGAAAGAAATTAGCCAGATATTTTAAAAAATTAGCCGGGCATGGTGGCATATGCCTGTAGTCCCAGCTACTCGGGAGGCTGAGGCAGAAGGATTGCTTGAGCCCAGGAGTTTGAGGTTGCTGTGAGCTGGGCTGACGCCATGGCATTCTAGCCCGGGCAACAGAGTGAGACTCTGTCTCAGGGAAAAAAAAAAAAAGGCGTCTTTCTTCCAGTGTAGCTGTGGATCCAGCAACAGGAAATAGATTTTACTTTGGATACCTACCAAGCAACACCCTTTCTCATCTCCCTCCTCTAGTGAAATCAATCTCAGATTTGCACCCAACCTGGAGCATCTTTGATCCAACAGTGCTTCACCCACACCGGCGTGCACACACCACTGGGAGTTGGTTACGCTGAGGATGACTCTGCTTTAGTCAGTCTCCGCGGGGCCTGGGATCCTGCATTTCCAACCAGCTCCCAGTTGCCTCCACGTGGCAGAACCACTTTGCGGGCAAGGCTTGGGAGATCCCTGGCTCCCAACTCTGACCTACAGCATCTCAGTTTCTTGGAAGAAGGCTGGTCAGCTCTCCCAGGGCACGCTGGATTGTGATGAATTAACGCCTGAGTTTGGAGTTTAGTCCCCCACAGGGACAGCTGAATGGCATTGCCACACTGGCTTGGACACTCACTCCCTGGGGTTGAAGCTGTAGCCCAGGGGCAGTGAGTCACCACTGGGAAACCACAGAGTTCCTTCTCCCTGCTGTCCACAGCATCCTCAGCTGCCAACGGAGAGCCAGCTGCCAAGATGACAAGGACTCCAGGGTGCTGGCCCTGTTTGCGGAATGTCCCTCAGTGGCTGGGGAGCCACCAGGGCTAAAAGAGCTAGAGGAACAGAGGGTCTGAAAACCATTGCCACACTTTGTAAGTGAAAAGCCAATGTCCCCTTGCCCAGGTTAGGTGGAGTTAGCAGGCGTCTGGCAGGGTGACCACCACAACCCAGCTCAGGGGCTGCTGCTGCGGATGTGTTAACCCACCTGGTTTCCTGCAGGTGTTTCCTCGCTGCCCTGCATCCACAATGGGTCCCAGAGTCCTGCTGAAAACTGCCCTCTGCCCCCAAGCCTGACTTTAAAAGAATTTAAGGCCCAGGAGACTAAAAGCAAAGATGTTTTGCAGCAGCCCAACTCCCCACGCCCCTCAGTCGATCACTTCTGCAGCATTAACCGGCTCGTTTCCTGTCATTCTGGTACCTCTTTGGGGATTAAGACAGAAAGATAACTATAATATAAGCACGGTGCTATGTTACTGAATTCCAGGAGGGTCAGGCAGGTTGGATGGGCTTATTCTCTCCATTATACGAATGAGGAACGAAGGCTCAGAGAGGATGTCGGTGCAATGTCAGGGGCTAGTAAATGGCAGAGCTGGGACCCAAACCCAGGACTTCGGACCCCAACCTAATTTTCTTCCCACCACGCTTAGCTCTGTTTGCTTAAACAATTACTCCCTGGTGCTGGGGTGTGTGGCCAGTTTCTGAAAAGGCCCTGTGGCTTCAAGCAGTCACCTCTGCCCCCACCTCCCGCCTCAACGCTCTGGTCAAGCAGCTGCCTCTTCAGCCAAGGCCGCTGCTCCGTGTCTGCGGGGATCTCACCTGGCCCTGTGCTTTTCTTCCTCACTGAGCAGACTCTGGCTCCTACTATTCAGCCATCGCACTGTCCCCTTCCCTCCTCTGTCCTCCCGAGGGGAGACCCGAATGGCCGTGCCGGCTCCTGGTTCCTTGGTAAGGCCTGCATCGTCACCACACAAGCGGGGACCTCTGGGCCCCGCTGCCTCAGCAGGACAGTGCCCTCCTCAGCGAAGCACCACCATCCATCCTGTGCTGAGGAGCTGGTCAACACAGGGTGCCCAGCCGTGTTCCCGCTCCAGCCTGAGACACGGGTGCCCTCCTGCCAGCAGACACGTCACGGTGCTGCTTCCCCAGATAATTGCAGACGGATCTCGCTCTCCTGAGCTGCTCGGCATCAATCAGAGCAGCCCAGGAGCCCATCTCACAGCCCAGGGGGGCTGCCTCCATTCCAGGCCACACGCTGCAGAGACAGGCATGGGGGTGGGAGTCAGGCACACCTGCATTCTAAGCCCAGGCCCTGCTGGCTTGCCCTGTGCTTTGGGAAGGGAGGCCCAATTTCCTCATCTCTAAAAAAGGTGATCCTAAGACCTGGCCAAAACCCTACAATCACTAATGGATGTAGTCACGAATGTTACACGCACACAGGATGGCTCCACAAAGTTTGTTCCACTCCTCCTTCCTCTTTTTAGCCAACTGAGCAGCCCGTGACCAGGAAAGCGGCAAACACAACACAAGAAGGTTAACTGTCATAGTGTAAACACAGCCCTTAGCTTCCTTCGAAGCCCTTTCTTCTTTTTTTTTTTTTCTGAGACAGAGTCTGTCTCCCAGGCTGGAGGAAGTACAGTGGTGTCACGGTAGCTCACAGCAACCTCAAACTCCTGGGCCCAAGGGACCTTCCTGCTTCAGCCTCCCGAGTAGCCAGGACTATAGACATGCACCATGATGCATGGTCAGTTTTTCTATTTTTAGTAGAGACAGGGTCTCGCTCTTGCTCAGGCTGGTCTCAAACTCCTGAGCAATCCTCCTGCCTCGGCTTCCCAGAGTGCTAGCATTACAGGCGTGAGCCACCGAACCTAGCCGAAAGCCCTTTCTAAATTGAGTGCATCGATATTGCAGAAGGACCTAAATATAAACTAAAACCTGTACATATTTACCCAAAACCTAAAATTCAGCCTATTAACATCACCCAAAATGGAGAGAAAAACAGAAGTCTAGCAGTTTAGCAAGGAGTCTAGACAGAGCAATGTGCCAGACACAACTCAAACGGAAACTGTTTCAGGCCATTTTACAGACTTCTAGTTCATTAAGAAATCCTTGTGCAATTGGTCAAGTCAATATTTTATTAAAAAACACACACACGCACATACACACACCATGGTAACAAAGGCAGAGACAGGGAAAGGAGACAGGAGATCTCCTATTTGGGAACAGGCACGACTCACTTTCAGAAAGAGGATACCTCAGAGACCAGATGGACAAACTAGATAAATTAGGAGGAGGCTTTGTTTTTGTAAGAGGACTTAAGGCAGCATCACTTCCCTGAGGAATGTGAAGTTGAAGCAGATTGATGTGGGAGTATTCACAACCCCCACCATGCAGTTAAGTGGGGCCATCAGTACCTGAGGCGGTTCTAAAAGCAGGAAGTGAGGGACCAGATTTCCCCTGAGGCTGCTTTCCTTTTGCGGAATGTTCTCCAAGGAAGACTGGAAGAAGAGGCTCTGGCCAGCTCAGGAACTCAGGGAACCACCTCCTGCGAAGGCGGGAGGAAAGTGCAGGCCCTTCCTTGTGCCCACCAGTGGTACAGGCCTTTGGCACAGGAACGCAGGTCCAGAAGCCTTGTCTGGGGTCACTGGTCCTGGGTCTGCAGAGCTCCCTAAGGGCCTGAAGGCTGTGGCCTGGTCAGACAGCTGCATCTTGGGAAGGAAATGGCAAAGTCAGGACAGCTTTCCAGGGACGGAACCCGCCAGGAAGCCACACGCTGCTGGCTTGACCTCAAAGTCCGCTCTGGTAGAGGACAGAGTCCTCCACTCAGCGCTAACTTTCACTGGGATTATTTTATTCTTTTTAAATACACTTCTAAAAAAGAAAAAAATTTCAATAGTGCAGAGAGGACACTCCTCCTACCTCTGTCCTCCTCCTCAGAGGTAACCCCCGCAACTTCCTTAGCTGTTTCTTTTGGCAATTTCTCCATAATTTTAAGTAATATATTTATATCAACATTTATAGATTTATCACCTTTAGACATTACTAACTTTTTTCCTACATTCTCCACTTTTTTTATCATTCATTTTTCTTTTTTTCCTAAACAGCTTTACTGGGATCTAATTCACATACCATACAATTCACCCATCTAAAGTGTACATTTCAGTGGTTTTCAGTATACGGGATTGTACAGCCACCATCACAATTTTAGAATATTTTCATCACCTCAAAGAGAAACCCCATCCTCATTAGCGGTCCCTCCTGAGACCCCCTGCCCCCAGCCCAAGGCCACTACTGTCTGGGGTCTCTGCAGATTTGCCTGTTCTGGACATTTCTTGTGAATGGAATCCTACACTCCCGAGGCTTCGGTGCCTGGCTGCTTTCACGCGCTGGAAGGACGTTAAAGCTCCGCCGTGACTGCCTTTCTGCAGCCGTTCAGACATGATGTGCATGCTTGGACATTTCTAATGTGTTTTTTTAAAAGAAAGAAAAAAGATAAAGAAAGGAAGCGCTGGCTCAAAGAAAGAAGTGGATTAATCAAAATTGTGGCTTCAAGATTTCAGCAATTCTAGTCCTAAGAATTTATTCTAAAGATAAAAAATGTTAAGGATGTATACAGGGATTTATTGGTAAGATGTTCATTACAGCACTGTTTAGTCACAAAGAATTTTTTCAACCCCCCGAAACCTTAATGCCCTGCAATGAGCCCTTGCGACACCACAAAGCTACTGAGAAGGACAGACAGGAATTCCTAATGACGCTGGGAAAATGTCTGATAGGTGGCTAAGTAGGAGGAAAACAAAAAGGTTACAAAGTAGCATATAAAGTCTGATCCTTTTAGTAAAAGCAACAGGGATATATATTTTCAAAGAGGAAATACTGGGAACATAGACACCCAGGTGCTATTTCTGAGTAGTGTGATGACAGATGGTTTTTATTTAATTTTTTCCCCTTATCTATATTTTCTAAAAGCTCCACATTTTATTTTCACCATTAAGAAACTTATATAAAGAAAATGCTTTGCCTTCAGAGGCTGAAATGTTAGGGTGTCACTGGGCGTGTGGAGACGGGGACGAGAGCAGAGATAATGGGGTTATATCTGTTCTCGTGGCCCCTGTGCTCTGACACTACTTCGGAGGTCCCCCTGGGATACAGCCTTCTCGGAAGCAGGGTCATTCCCTATTGCTGACGTCAAGAATAAGCCGTCCTCCTGCTGGCAAGAGGGGGGGACTTTCAGAGATCCTCTGTGCACAGATACCCAGAACTCACCTGTGGACTGGGTCACACACGAGATCTTGTAGGACAGCCATATGCTTGCCAGGCAGAGGAAGGTGGCCATGAAACCGAAGATCTGCAGTGGAGAGAGGACAGGATGTTCACAGGCGTGGGCCAATCAGTTGGCAATCCTGTCTGTTTCTCATCTTTGTGCTTGTCCCCTGTACCATCTGTGGCCGGAAGGGGGCTTGGGAGTCACCTGACCCGACCTCCTTGTCCTTGCTCAGGTGCACACATGAATCCCAGAGAGACCCCGTCACCAGCCCCTGGTCCCCCAGGCTGGGCCCAGGTCAGGTCTGGCAGCCAGGCCTCTGGTCTCCACCCCCTGCCCTTCTCACTCTAGGCAACTTCAGTTCCCGTTTGGGCTCATATTTATAACCGAGCTGGGGCCAAGCCACTGGACTTTGATTATCCTGGATGAGTAAGTAAGGTGAAATTATACATTTTAATTTGGGTTTAAACAATTTTTTTTATTTCACAATATTACAGGGGCACAAACACTTGGGTTTAAAAATTGGAAATGTTCAAATGGATTTTATTGGTGTGGTGGCATTGTTTGCATTTCGTTTGTCGTGGCTTTCTGTTCTGTTCTGGCTTTATAGCCATGTCAGAGCCAGAAGCTGAGGCCTTTCTATCTAGTTTGCACATATTAAATAATATTAGACTGAAATAGGTCAGGGCAATGTACTTTTCCTTTCTCAGGGTCCATCTATTCTGACCTAGCCCAGCCCAACCCCTCACTTGCAGATGGGGAGGAACAGGTTCCTGGGGAAGAAGGGGCCTTGGGGGAGGCTCCTCAGACGGTTCTGGGAGAAGGCTGGTACAAACGCTGGTGTCTTTGGAACTCTGACGCCTGCAGCCATTTTCCTTCCTTGTGAACACACCGGCAGCTGTAGCAGCTAAAACTCACTGACCACCTATCTACCCGCCAGGGTACTAAGCCCTTTGTGTGGATCCCATTAACACAATTCTACGAAGTGGGTGCTAGTCTTACCTGCCTTCATCCCCCCCATTTTACAGCTAAAGAAAGGGAGGTATAGGAGGTCAACTATTTTGTGTAAGGTTACAGAGCCAGCAAGGGCCAGACATGGGACGTGAGCCCAGGGAGTCTGGCTCCAGCGTCCACACTGTGCTATTCTGGCTGCGCAGGTTTCTCAGACCACACAAAGGCCTGGGGCTCACTGTGCCACCATGAGTGCACAGCTGAAATCACCAGCTGCCGTCCGACAGGAATGGCCCAGGAGCAGCCAGGTGAAGGGTAGGATTTTCAACAAGGTTTGGTTTTCTTCTCAAGCCCAGCTGCTCGTTTACATAAATAGCTGCCACCACCAGCCCACGCTCACTACTTCCTCGAGTGCCTTTTCCTTGGCTCTGTTTGTACCAATTGTTTGTAGCACATAATTAGCCTATTAGTGCCTGTCCTGGCCTCTCATTGTCTGTTCTGCACAATTAGCACATTATATACCATCCCAGTCTCCAACTGTCTGCACTGCATAATTGAACAGTTTATTATATCGCTACATAATACTATTCTAGATGACAATGCCTTGTTTGCTAATTGTTTCATGTGCCTTGTCATCATCTCCTAAGCTAAATTACCACTTTCTCATAAGCAAGGACCATATTTTAAAAATTTCTTCTGGCTTCCCCATGGCCCAGGTTTGGTCCTGGGCACAAAGACAGTGTATGATAAATGTTAGCTACTGGGACTCCAGGGCTAACACGGTTACATGCAGCCTGAATTATCAAACCCAGCTGGGATCTCCCTGTGTGGGCCCTGAAACACAGAGGGCGTGGATTTCCTCCGTGCCTCCGCCACCAGCCCACACTGCAGCCGGGCACGTGGTGAGCTGCAAGTGGCAACCGCCCCCTCCTCAGAGACTGCGCAGAGGCAGGGTTGTAGGAGTGGGCGCAGAGGGAGGCACAGACGGGCCATCAGTTTTTAGGGCCACCCTCTGCAGTGACGTTCTGCCCCCATGCTGACCTTTGGAAGAGAGACTCCATCTCTCTGGAATTCCAGAAGCCAACCCACTCCCAGGCCAAAGCCTGGGATTTTGGTAATGTGTGTAAAGTCAGTGAATGTTATACACAGAGAGCTATTTCTTCTTTTCTTCTTCCTCTTTTTTAAAGAGATGAGGGTCTCACTATGTTGCCCAGGCTGGACTTGAACTCCTAGGCTCAAGTGATCCTTGTGCCTCAGCCTCCCGAGTAGCTTAGACTACAAGTGCACGCCACCACACCTGGCTTGAGAGAGTTTCTCTTAAAACTCATTTTAAAAATCTTGCCTTCTCATCAGTGAAGCAAATCGGTACTGTAAACAGCTAAATCAGAAATCAGATGACAGGAATCTATTAATTGCATAGGGGTGTTATTTCTTGCCCCGAATACTGTTGAGAATCAGGAATGGCAAAGTTAAGACTCACGGCAGATGTCACTGATCATAGTATCCTGCCGCCTGGGCCCATAAAAGGCCCTAAAATCTTTCTCTGCACATTACTGTGGCAGCCACAAGCAAATGATCAGACTGGGCATGCAAATTAAAACCCATTTGCCCCAGATTTAAGTAGTGGCTGTAGGAGAGAGAGGCCTGGGCTCCTGGGGGCCACTTGCATTTGCCAGCAGCCCTGACACACCACCTTCTGAGACTCTCAGCTGTTAGCCCACGTTTAAGGCTCTTTGGAGGTAGCTGCCAGCTGTATCAAGGTAGCTATCAAATCTGTGAAACAAAGGCCCTAGAAACCAACTCCTTTTCTGCCCCCACCATGAAAAAATGAGCATCTGAAATATGAATTCATTCCTAAAGAACATCCTCACCGCTCCGGCTACCAGTCCGCTCTGGCTGTAACTCTTGGAGGCTGCCACAATGGAGGCGATGAGGAGGAGCAGGGTACCGATTCCATAGTGCAGAAGTTCCTGGGGGCAGAAACAAGAGGGTGGGTAGGGAGGTCCACTCCTAGTTCTAACAGAGCAGCTGGACATCAGAAGAGATGAAAAGAAGGGGAGAGCAACACCCGGCTGGGAGGAGTGGTGCAGCCAGCAGGCAGCCGATGTGGAAGGCTGGCCGGGAAGAGGCCAAGCAAGAGAGGAAGCATGCTCGATGCTGGGCAGGCGGGAAGGGAAGGGGACGCAGAGAAAGGAAGCTCTCCCTTGGGAGAGACAGCCACTCAGGACCGCTCCACTCCTGAGATCAACCTATAGACAATACACTGACCTCTGGCTAAAGCTACTAAAAAGCAAATGAGCTTCTTGCAATTCCCAGGCTGGAGAGTTTAACGGAAGCTCTACTCTGAGAAGCAAAGCCCCTTAAAGAGATACGTGCCTTTCTCTTCAGCTACTTGGGAGGCTGAGGCAGAAGGATTGCTTGAGCCCAGGAGTTTGAGGTTGCTGTGAGTTAGGCTGATGCCATGGCACTCTAGCCTGGGCAACACAGTGAGACTCTGTCTCAAAAAACAAAAACAAAACAAAAAAAAAACAAAAAACATTTGACAAAATCTAACACCCTTCATGACAAAACACTTAACAAAGTAGGACTAGAAGGGAACTTCTCCAATCTGATAAAGGGCACTTACCAAAAAATTGATACCCGATATCATATTTAATGATGAAAGATGAAATGCTTTCCTCCTAAAATCAGGAAAAAGGTAATGATGCCTGCTTTTGCCAGTTCTAGTCGACATTCAACTAAATTACTCAACTAATTTCTTGCAATAAGGCAAGAGAATGAAATAAAAGGCACGGAGACTAGAATGGAAGAAGCAAAACCATCTCCGTTTGCAGATGACATGCTCTTATATATATAGAATATCCTAAGAAATCCACTAAAAATCTATTATTAATAGAACTAATAAAGGAGTTCAACAAGGTTGAAGATAGGATCAATACAAAAGTAACTGTATTCCTATACACTTGCAATGAAAAATATGAAAAGGAAATTAAGAAAAAATCTGATTGAAATAGCATCAAAAAGAATAAAATACTTAGGAACAATTTTAACAAAAAAAGTACAAACCTTATACTCTGAAAACTATAAAACATTGAAAGAAATGAAAGAAGATCTAAATAAATGGAAAACTCTTCCATGTTCACGGATCATAAGACTTAATATTGTTAGGACAGCAATATTCCCCAAATTGATCTACAAATTCAAGACAATTCCTAATAGAATCTCAACTAATTTCTTTGTAGAAATTGAAAAGCTGATTCTAGAAGTTATGTGGAATTGTAACGATCCAAAACAATCCTAAAAAAGAACAAATTGGGAGGACTCCCATTTCCTTATTTCACAACTATAAAGCTACAGTAATTAAAATAGTGTGGTACTGGCATAAAGATAGACAAATAGATCAATGGAATAGAATTGAAAGTCCAGAAATAAATCCATGTATTTAATGGTCAACTGATTTTGACAAGGGTGCCAACGCCATTCGAGGGGGAAAGAATAGTCTTTTCAACATATGGTGCTGGGAAAACTGGATAACCCCAAGCAAAGAATGAAGCTGAACCCGTACCCCACACCATATGCAGAAATTAACTCAATATTATGTTAAGTGAAATAAGCCAGGAACAGAAACTAAAACACTGCATGTTCTCACTCGTGTGGAAGTTAAAAAAAGTTGATCTTATAGAAATAAAAAGTAGAACAGAAATTACTAGAGGCTGGGAATGGTAGGGGGAAGGGAAGCATAAGGAGAGATTTGTTAAAGCACACAAAATTACAGCTAGATAGGAGAAATAAGTTCTAGTGTTCTTTAGCACTATAGGATGACTATAGTTAACCATAATGCATTATATAGTTTCAAATAGTTAGAAGGAGGATATTGAATGTTCTCAACACAAAAAATGATAAATGTTTGAGATGACAGATATGCTAATTACCCTGATCTGATCATTACACAGTGTATGTATTAAAACATCACCATGGGCCGGGCGTGGTGGCTCAAATCTGTAATCCTAGTACTTTGGGAGGCTGAGGCAGGAGGATTGCTTGAGTCAGGAGTTCAAGACCACCCCAGCAAGAGCGAGACCCCGTCCCTACTAAAAAAATAGAAAGAAATTTGCCAGGCAACTATAATAGAAAAAATTAGCTGGATGTGGTGGTGCACGCCTGTAGTCCCAGCTACTCGGGAGGCTGAGGCGGGAGGATCGCTTGAGCCCAGAAGTCTGAGGTTGCTGTGAGCTAGACTGATACCATGGCACTCTAGCTGGGGCAAAAGAGTGAGACTGTCTCAAAAAAAAAAAAAAAAAATCATTATGTACCCTATGAATACATACAATTTATGATTTGTCAATTAAAAATAAATTCAAAAAATTAACTCAAAAGGGATTAAAACCTAAATGTAAGAACTAAAACTATAAAACTCTTAGATGAAAACACAGAGGTAAATCTTTGCAACCTTGGATTTGGCAATAACTGCTTAGATATGACACCAAAAGCATGAGCTAAAAAAGAAAACAATCGATAAGTTAGATTCATCAAAATTAAAAACTTGTGCTTTAAAAGGCACCATCAGAAAAGTGAAAAACAATGAACAGAATGGGAGGAAATATATGCAAATCATCTGATAAGGGACTTTTATCTAGAATATATAAAGAACTCTTACAACTCAATAATAAAAGACAAATAACCTAATTAAAAATGGGCAAAGGATCTGAATAGATATTTCTTTAAAGAAAATACACAAATGGCCAAAAAGCACATGAAAAGATAATTGACCTCATTAGTCATCAGATCAAAACCGCTTCACACTCACTAGAACGGCTAGGATCAGAAAGTCAGATAATAAGTGTTGGCGAGGATATGGTGAAATTCGAACCCTCGTACACTATTGGTAGAAACGTAAAACAGTGCAGCCACTTTGGCATACAGTCTGGCAGCTCCTCAAATAATTAAACACAAAGTTACCATATGATCCAGCAATTCTACTCTTAGATATACACCAAAGAAAAATGAAAACGTGTAATTTTTTGTTTTTAGTGGAGACGGGGTCTTGCTCTTGCTCAGGCTGGTCTCTAACTCCTGAGCTCAAGTGATCCTTCCACCTCAGCTCCCAGAGTGCTAGGATTACAGGCATGAGCCACTGTGCCCAGCCTGAAAATGTTCTAAAATTGACTGTGGTGATAGTTGCCCAATTTTGAAAATATACTAAACTCCATTGAACTGTACACTTTAAATGGGTGAATGGTATGGTAACTGCATAGCAACAAGGCTTAAAAAACAATAATATAGTGGGAAGAAAAAAATCTGGCAACCTCTGATGGTCTCCCTATCCCTGCCCGTCCCTTTTAGCTAACAAATCGTATCATGCAACCCTCACAACTATATATATACACCCACTCTCTCCATCGGCTCCTTCCTTCCGTGTTCCTCCTCCCAACTCACACACCACAGCCCATTCTCTCTCACTTGAGACAATAAACATCAAAGCGAGCCACGGTCTTCTTGTAGCTGGAAATTGAGTTTTAGAATGCAGAGATGTCCACAAAACCATGGGAAATTCAGGGCGGATGCAGAGATGTCCACCAAACCATGGGAAATTCAGGGCGGAAGCAAAGGATGGTTAAAGAGGCAGAATGGGCAGACGGGAAGGACTCCACTGGGTGTCAAAGCAGCTAACATCCTGAGTTCGGCATGCTGAGAACAGGGCCAGGCTGCTTACCGACAGGGGCCAGCTGATACAGGTGAGCATGCGGTAGACGCGGAAGAGGTGGACCAGGTAAAAGGCGAGGATCATTATCAAGTCGCAGATGGTGACCACTTCAAAGTAGCTGTAGGCGCTGTAGTCGGTCCACAGAGAGCTCCGCACGCAGATGAAGGCGATCAGCAGAGTGACCTGAGACGTGAGTACAGAGACATCAGAGAAGTGCCTGCCCAAGATGGGAACCCAGGGCACGAACAAACAGAAAACCAACCAGACATCCCCTGGCAGGCCCGAATTGAGGAAATGCTACAGGTTATTTCCGCACAAATTGGCTGTAAGGTTGGGAGAATGCAATTTCACATAGTACAAGCTTTTTAAAATACATGCTAGCTGTGAATGCTGACAATGGCAGAGACTGACTTTGTCCCCTCTGAAGTTCACTGTATTGTGCCGGCAGGATGCCTCACAGGGAAATAACAAAGTAGAACCATTCCATTTATTTGCTGGACCACCACAGAGCAAAGAACAGAGTACAGAGTGACGGTGGACCTCGGGTTTACATATTAGGTTGGACTGTATGAAATTGCCAATATTCAACTGTTTTTGACCTACAAAGATGACAATTCATACATTACAGCCTATCAGTTGGCAGGCAGTAAGTTACCATTTGCTGATGTCTGGCATAGATGATCTCACTAAGGCCTTGCAGAATGCTGCCAGGTAGACCAAATCCTCATGTTCATATGGGGAAACTGAGGCACATGGGTTCACAATTAGTCTAAGGCTACCCAGCTTGTAAGCAGCAGAGGTGGGATTTGAATCAAGGTCTGCCTGACTCTAGGGACTCTGTTCCACCTTGTCAGGTGCAGTTCTGCCTCCCAAAAATATAAAACGTCATCCTAAAAAGATGAGAGGGGTGGATGTGTCATCAAACGTGTGATGCCCTGTTTCAGAGGTGGTGCCTGCTCACCACCAGGAGAGGTGCTGACGGCTCACTCAGTGATGCTGTTGCATGAATGAATGAATGTGCAGAATTAATGACCTACCATTGAACTGATAGGTCAGGTAAATATTATTAGCAACACATGAATACTACAGGTGAGTAGACTGGATGAGGGAAGAGAAGATTCTGAGTTTTTCTGAAGGTCATTCAAAGAGAATGAAACCTTGTCCACTCCATGCAGGGAACAAATCAATAACACACAGGGTTAAATGCATCTAAAATCTCAGGATCTATTTTAAATGCACAACTAATTTAGGAAAAAGATTATTTTATACAGCCTCTTTCCTATGGAATAGTGATTCTTAAATGTGTGGGGGTGGGGAGAGAGAGAAAGACAGATTTGTGTCCTGTGGGACATTTGGCAATGTCTGGATACGTTTTTGATTATTACAACTGAGGGGTTCTACTGGCCTTCAGTGGGTAGAGGCCAGGGGTGCTCTTAAACACCCCAAAATTTATAGGACAGCTCCCATAATAATTATCCAGCCCCAGATGTGACCCCTAAACTATTGTACTGTTGTTGAAAAACCCTGCTGTAGAAAATGTCAGCCTACAATGAGAATTAAATCACGAAACAGATCTAACTCCAGTTAAAGTGGTCAGTGCTGAAAATGCTCTTATTTTCTAAAGCACCTTGTTTCTAGCTCTCTCTCAAGGTCTCAGTAATAGGTACAACAGCTAAAAAAGAACTCTTGGCTTAAAGCTTGAAGTGGGCACAAAGAGTGTTCTGCTTAACAGATCCAAACACACGTGTGTGTGTGGCTCTGACTTGGAGGGACCCTTAAAATTTGCGATTTCCCTTCGCTAATGAGTAACATGAGTATTTGCATTTTTTCGGTTCCTCTGAAGCCAGCCAGCCATGGCAATATAATGATTCACACCTAGAGGTTGTTTCAAGCTCTTAGATGCCTCTGCTTTACATGCAGGACTGTGCATGGTCTCCAGGGCTTGGCTGCCTCGTCAGTCCCATTTCTGGACCTCATCTATTTGAGGAAGTCTGTGGGTCTCCCCAGTGCTACACTGACCCCCTGATGTACTGGGCTATTTTTATTGAAGGCTTAAATGCAGATAATTTGGAATTATGCAGTATGATTCCTAGGTAAAGAAGCAATTTTGCATCTAATTTAATGCAGAGATTAAAATAATTTTTACAACTCTTCATTGATGACAGAGTTAGCCCTCTCTCATGGTGACACAAGGATATGGAAGTTTCCCAATGAACAAAAGGGGCCTGGGCAGGCCTTCCCCCTCTGAGCTTCCACGGCTGAGTACTGTGCAGTAGGAGGACATTGTTGCCCTGTCACAAACATCTCAAACCTCTCTGGGAAACTTGAAGTAAGACTTCCTGAATTCTGTTCACATGGCCTACGGCCGGCCTACCATGTGTCCTTCTTTAGGAAAGCCCAATTTTGGAAAACTCTAGTTTAGACAGGATAGGGCGTGTGCTTATACACGCTCCAAAAACTTCCTTTTTGCCCAAGGATTCATTCATTCCAACCGTACACAGCCAACGTCTTAGCCAGCTCACTGTAGTCCCAGCAGTTGGGGAGGCCAAGGTGGGAGGATCGCTTGAGCCCAGGAGGTCAAGGTTACAGTGAGCTATGATCACACCATGGCATTCCAGCCTGGGTAACAGAGCAAAATCACATCTCTCTATAAAGAAAAAAACAATTTTAAATAGATATGACTGACACCGGACTTTTCAGGAATTCTTCTAAGGCCAGTAGGTAACTTCTACAAATGTTGGGGACCCCTGAATCGTTTAAATCACTTCTCAGGGGGCAAGAAGAAAGGTGAAGCAGGAAGAAAGAACAAGACAACGGTGTTTATCTGCTGGCCCCTCATGCCTCTCAGGATCTCTCCTTCCCAGTTAGAAAAGCAAATGACAAATGCCTGAGTTCAGAACGGACCAAGGGAGGAGTTCGGCCTTCAGCACAGGTGAGGCTGGGAGGCTCTCTGGAAGACAGGTGTGCTTTTGCTCAGAGTAACTTCAGCGTGATGCTGCCCAAAGGGCTAACTTGTCTCTTAAGGTGCCTTCTAGCTCCTCTTATAAAGGTCTGTGCTTTTATACTGAACTGTCATGAGAGTTGAAAATAAAGCATCTAACATAAACATCCAGAGGTTTAAAAGCAACATTGCAAGAGCCCTCCTCTCGAAGCAAGGGTCCCACATGTCAGCCGTGACACTGTGTAGTGGCACAGGAATTAGAATTCCAGAGTAGAAACATCCCTCCTCCCCAAACCTGTGTCCTTTCTGACTCTATTCTATCAGAATTCTTACTAGAAAGAAGAGATGGGCCGGGCGCGGTGGCTCACGCCTGTAATCCTAGCACTCTGGGAGGCCGAGGCAGGCGGACTGTTTGAGCTCAGGAGTTCGAAACCAGCCTGAGCAAGGGCGAGACCCCGTCTCTACTAAAAATAGAAAGAAATTAATCGGACAACTAAAAATATATAGAAAAAATTAGCCGGGCACGGTGGCGCATGCCTGTAGTCCCAGCTACTCGGGAGGCTGAGGCAGGAGGATGGCTTGAGCCCAGGAGTTTGAGGTTGCTGTGAGCTACGCTGACGCCACGGCACTCACTCTAGTCAGGGCTACAGAGTGAGACTCTGTCTGAAAAAAAAAAAAAAAGAAGAAGAGATGATTTTTGTGAAAGTAGCAGAGGGTTTCAATCTCATAGGAGATGAAGCAAGCTGTCATTACCTGAGAAAAATGATTGTCCCCTGAGGACTCTGGAACTAGACCAGTCTGGTCCTAACTAGAGTAGACACCCATAGCCAGGTGACAACAGCTTGTCCAGGTTTTAAGCCTGGCTGAGCGTCCCTCCAGGAAGAAATGGAATTTTGATTTCTAAATAAATTCCAGAAAAATTTCTGGAAAAGACTCAACAGGCACTTTTCAGGAGATACCTACTTCCAAGCTGGGCAGAGCAAGCGTCTTGTGGTCTTGGAGACCCTGTCTCCTGCTGCCCGCAGCCCATGCTTGGGAACATTCCCTCCGCGGGCCCGAGCCCTCACGCCCCTGCCAAGTCAGTCCACTGAGCGTGCCTGTTTGTGTCTGGCTGAAGATGGCACCAGGCACCTTTCGTTTGGGGAGCCCCGGGCTGGATGCCGGCAGGTCACCCAGCCCTGCCCTCCCCATCCTGATCTTGGAGTGACAGAGACAGGCAGCAGGAGAGGACATAACTGATGAAAGCCAACATCAAAAGGTCCCAGATCCAACTCTACAAGGCTTTTCTGAAAAAGCCCAGGAGATGAAAGGCAGGTTTGCTCAAGAAGTCAGAGATGTGGATGATGATTTGGTGACTGAAAGCTGCATTTGTCAATGCAGCAGGCCTCCAGTGACTTTACCCGGCAGTGGGCAGGCAGGAGGAAGAATTTGACGTTCCCAACTTTGGCTGAATTTTGCCCCGGGTGTAAGGAATTTACCGCTGCCTCCCTGTTAAAGCCTCCACTGCACCAGTGGCACCCAAGCCCTTGCGCGATCTCGTTAACACCCGCAGGGCTGAGAGCACCCACCTGCTCACTTCCTCTAGGCCCTGTCTCACTCACCAACACCAGACAGACTCTTGCCCCAGGGTCCTGGCCACCCTCCCCTAAGCCCAGCACAGAGCTTTGTTTTGTACCCATAAATGAAAATGCCACAGAAATACAAAAGAGGGAGAATAATCTAGGGAACATGTCAGGGACCCCCAGTTCCAGGTCTTGAGCAGACAGAAACGCACTGGCTTCTGAATCTAACCGTGCAGCACAGCCCCCCGGCAGCACATAGAAAACCAGATTCCATGTTTGTCCACGCTGGGAATACTCTGGAAGGACACATAAAAGCTGGAAACAGTGGTTACCTCTGGGGAGGGAGAGTAATATTTAGCGGTTTTTAAAATTTATTTACTTTGTTTTCTTACATTATAAAGGATCACATATTAAATTTCAAAAAGGCAATTTTTAAATGACACATCTTAGAGATCCTTAATGTCACACAAAGATAGATCTACCTTTTTCTTTTCATTGTCTGCAGCATTGCCCCGGCTGTGGATTTATTTAACCCAGAGTTTCCCAACCTCAGCACTACTGATATTTGGGGCTGGATAGTTCTTTGTTGTGGGCGCCTGTCCTGTAGGCGGTCGTCTGTCCTGGCCTTTACCTACTTGGTGCCAGTCTCTATCCACTCCCCAGCTGCAACAACCAAAAAT